TGGCCGGTCCCGGTCCGGTACGGGCGCGACACTGAGGGTTGCGATCTGTTGCCAGTCACGAGAAAAGACAAAAAAAGGGGGGAAAAAAAAAAAACCAGATCCTACCAGACCCCACAGAAGACCCCTACTGCCCCCTTTCAGTCATTACCTCCCACAATGGTCACCAGTATTTGACCTTCTAATACTAAAATTAGTTTTGCCGGATTCTAAACATTATACCAAGAACATTACATAGTGTGTGCGCTTTGTATCTCAGTTCTTTCACTCAATATTATGTTTGTAAGATTCATTCATGCTGTGTGGAATTGTTATTTGCTTCTTTCATTGCATGAATAACTCACAATTTATTTACTTGTCTTACTGTTGATGGGCATTTGGGTAGTTTTCATTTTCAGCCATTACAGCTAGTGCTTCTATGAACATTCTCGTGTACGTTTGATGAACCTCTGTATGTACTTACGTTGGGTACACACCTAGGAGTGGGATTGCTGACTCATATGCTCAGTATTGGTAGGGAGTGACAAACTTTTTTTTAGTGCTTGTGCCAATTCCCACTCCCACCAACAGTGTCTGAGAGTTCCAGTTGCTTCACATCCTCAACAGCAATTGATATTCTTGATATTGTTTTGGCCAATTTAGTAGCTGAGTAATGACCTGCCATTTTGATTTTAATTTGCATTTCCTTGACAAATCCCGAAGTCAAACACATTTCTATATGTTTATTGGCCATTCGAATATCCCGTTTTGGATTGTCAGCCTTTTTTTAATTGATTTGTGGAAGATCTTTATATACTCTGGATATCAGTTCTTTGTTAGATGTGTGCATTGGGAAATATCTTCTCCCGCCAGAGAGTTATACTTAAAATAGATTCACTCTTTAAAATAGTACATGTTCTTAAAAATAGTCAAGCAAGATAGAAGTATGCAGTAGAGTCAAAAGCTGACATCTCCCTCCACCCTGCTGAGGCAAACACGGCTAAAAGTTATACACGTAGCAGTATACTTAGCAATGTAAATGGTGCATTTTTTCCCATTTAATGTTCCTAAGAAATATTATCTCCATTTTACAGAGGAGGAAATGGAGGCACAGAGAGGTAAAGTGACTTGCCTGAGGTGACACTTTTAGTAAGTAGCTGAGTCTGGATTGAACCCAGAATCTCTGCGACCTTCAACCACTCCAAGGAACTTCATGTTTCCATTTATACCTTTGGCTCAGAGGGTTGTCAGCTCTTCGAGAATCTGTCCCTGACACACTTTCCTCACAGATGCCTGTTTTGGGCTCCCGCCAGAGCTGGGGCTCTTGGGGGTCACCACTTTGGGATCTTGATTTCTGAGTACTCAGTGCTGCCCAGATCCTGCAAGCCCCGGGCCTCGGCCCCTGGAAGCTGAGGGAGGCCTGATGGCGCTCCTCCTCCTCCTCCTCTGAGGTGGCGTGGCAGAAGCGGGGGACGGTCTGAGGGGCCGTCTGACCAGGATACACGCAGGGGACCCTGAAGCGCAGTGAGAGAAGGGCTGATGGCGCTCCTCCTCCTCCTCCTCTGAGGTGGCGTGGCAGAAGCGGGGGATGGTCTGAGGGGCCGTCTGACCAGGATACACGCAGGGGACCCTGAAGCGCAGTGAGAGAAGGGGGTCAGAGCAGAACCGTGCGGTCTGGAGAAGGCAGCAAGGGTCCCCAGGGGAACTCAGGGCCTGACGGGGCGTTTATCCCTTCATCCATTTCACACCTATTTCCTGAGGATTCATTCACGTGTTCGCTCGCTCATTCACTTGTACCTTTAACAAACTTGAGTCATGATGGCCTGTCCTTATCACTAATCCCATGGAATCCTTGCAGCCTTCTGTTGGTGATATTACTGCTTTCCCCACTCTACAGAAATGAAAACAGACTAAACAAGGTTAAGTAAATCTTCAGCAGACAGAGTCCCTGACCTTAGGCAGTCTATCAGGGCAAAGTGACAGTATCAGACTGTCAACAACAAAACAGTTATCTAGTTGCAAATTCTGATTTGATGGACAGAAGCAGAGTACTGCGGGTGAAAATCACAAAGGCCTGGATGGGACCTGCTTCTGCCCTTCTGGGGCTCACAGCGTGATAGGGGACAGGGCTGTGATGGCTACAAGGAAGCATGATGACAGCGTCTGCCTGGCAGAGGGAGGGAATATTTAAGTTGGAGCATGAAAGATAATTAGGTGCCTATCAGTGTAAATGGGGGACAGAGGAAACCATGCGTGCAAAGGGACAGAGTCACAGAAGAGCTGGCCCTGCCTGGGGACAATAAGCTTGTTTTGTTAGGAGCATAGTATGTGAGTGGTGAGGGACAGGAAGGGGGCTGGGGACTTTGGAACACCAGACTGAGGAATTTGGACTTGATCCCTTAGGCCTGTGCTGTCTAACGTGTGAGCCGCTAGTTACACGTGGCTGTGGAGCACGTGGAATGTGGCAAGTCAGAACAGAGATGTGCTGCTGTATAAAATAGACACTGGGTTTTAAAGACTTCGTACCGAAACTAAAAATTAAAAAAGAATGTGAACTATCCATTAATAATGTGTATATTATCAATAACATACTGGAATGATAATATTTTGGTTGTATTGAGCTCAATAAAATCTACTCAGCCATAAAAAAGAATGGAATTCTGCCGTTCACAGCAACATAGATGAGCTTGGAGAAAATTATGTTAAGTGAAATAAGCCAGACACAGACAGAGAAATACCACATGTTCTCACTCATATGTGGAAGCTAAAAAAGTTGATCTCACAGAAGTAGGGAGCAGAATAGTGGTTACTAGAGACTAGGAAGGGAAGGGGAAGGGGGAAAAGGGATGAGGAGACGGTAGCCCGTGGATATGAAACTGCAGAGAGGTAGGGGGAATAAGTTCTGTGTTCTATAGCAATATAGGGAGACATAATATAGGCAACACATTATTGAACAACTTCAAGTAGCTAGTTGAGAGGATTTTGAATGTTCCCAGTTCACAGAGGTCACAAATGTTTGAGACGATCACACCCTGGTATGATCATTGCACACACTATAAATGTACCCAAATAGCATATTGTACTCCATAAATATATGCAATTATCATAGGTCAATTAAGAAAAAATAAATCAAAAAGAAAAATTTTTTTTTCAGAGACTGAAGTGGATTAGAGGATACCAGAAACCGGAGAGAAGGAATAATGGGAAGTTTTGCTTAATGGGTGCAGAGTTTATGTCTTAGAATATGAAACAGTTCTGGAAATAGAGGCGGTGGTCACATAGCATTGTGAGTGTAATTAATTCCATAGAATTGTATGTTTAAAAATGCTTAAAATGGCAAAGCTTATGTTATTTATGTTATACCACAATGAAAAAAAAAAGATGATTTCACATCTTTTTTTAATGCAGCTACTAGAAAACTTTACATTCTGTATGTGGCTCACCATCTGTTTCTATCGGACAGCGCTGATCTAGACCGTGGGGAACAAGCAGAGATGACTGCCTGACCGCTGCTTTGGGAGTTTCTTTCTGGAAGCTTGATCTGGGGAGGAGAGATGGTGTGAGTCATAAACATGAGGCCACTGCACAGACCCAGGCTAGAGGCAGCGAAGGCTTAGCGGGAAGGGAGGTTAATAGGAAAAAGCTTTGTGAAAAAAGAATTCGACAGGACTTGGTAAATTATTGGCTGTGGGAGATGAAGCAGGGAAAGGAAGAGAAAGAGACTTCCAGGTCCCCGGCCTAAGCGACTGCAGCAGGAAACCAGGGGGCAAGGGAGGGGGGACATATTTGGGGGAGAAATCGGAGCTCAGTTTTTTTTCTTTTGTTTTGTCTTTTGTTTTGTTTCGTTTTTCTAAAAGATGACCAGTAAGGGCATCTTAGCCCTTGACTTGGTGTTGTCAGCACCACGCTCTCCCAAGTGGGCCATGGGCAGCCCTGGAGCTCAGTTTTTGACGCGCTGCGCGAGCTGCCACAGATCATCTGGGGGGAGGCGTGCCCACCTCAGGCACCCAGGAGACGGTTCTCACTGCAGGATGGGCGCCATCCCTGCTGGCTGCTTTCTCCACCATTTCTTCCTGTAGATCTTCACTCTGGGGGAAGAGACCAGGGCCTTTCAGCCTGGCTGGCTCACCTTCGGGAGCCCAGCAGGGCTGACTGCAGTGGGGCACAAGAGCTGCTGTCCGGCTTCAGAGACTGTGATGAAAACAGGCGCGCCTTCTTCCTGGACAGCTGGAACCAGGTGTTGAGAACAGACCCTACACCTGGCCAAAGTGGCAGGCGTCTAAATTCTCGATGTTGCTTCAACTAACTGCACTCATTTCTGTCTTCACCATCTTGCTGGGTCACTTCAGCTCCAGGCTTTGAATTTTAGAGATTCTTTGAGCTTCCACCCTGCACACACACTCCACTACCACCCCATGAGGCCTTCACCCAAATCGAAGCCACCACTCACATGAAGAAGATGAGGCAGAGACAGACAGCAAGCAGGGCCGTGACACCAGCTCCCCCAATTGTCCCCTGCGCCACTCCTGTCCTGGGTCCTGGTTCCACTGCAGACAAAGGAGACCCGAAGTGATCTTCAGTCTCCTTAAGCAGGCACCTGAGCATCCAGCCTTGAATCCATTACCCATGAGAATGCCCACTTCCATCCAGGACTCAGTCTTTTGTTCCCTATCGCTCTATATAACTGCAGCCTCCTGTTCCCCCAGTCCCCTCCCCAGCCAAAGGACAGACGACCCTGGACCATAGTTCCCCTTTGCCCTGGGTCTGACCCTTTCCCTAACTGTCAGTGTCTTCTGGGACCCAGGGTCATGTTTCTCCTTTCCCTGGGCCTTGACCTTCATACTCTCCTGACTTGGAAGCAGCAGGATAGTCACGCTGATTCCCATGGGCATTTTGGGCTTCACAGCTGAGCCTGAGGCTGGAGGAGAGTGACCCTCTGAGGCTCAAGGAGCTGTTGGCCCAGGGCCCAGCTGAGCTGGAGGTGACCATGAAGGAAGCGTTGCTGCTGTTCCCCTCCAGCAGCCCCTCCCCAAGCCACCAATGCAGGGAGGGGGCCAGCTGGGCTCGGGAGGAGCAGCCGCAGTGTAGACGCTCAGCCTCCCAGGAGCAGGAGGGGCCCGGCTGCTGTGGGGGGTCTTGGGGAGGGAGAAGAGGGGTCAGAGAGGCTCTCCCCTTGCTAGGAACCAGGTGTCCTCCCCTAGCGGCCTTCCAACTCACTCTTCACAAAGGGGTTCACAGAGGCTTTCCGAGAGCCCAACTGGTGCCAAGCTTGGCAGATGTATTTTCTATGGTCCTCCAGTTCCACACAAGGCAGCTCCAGGACCCCAGGGCTCAAGGGCTGTGAGGGCCTCAGGGTCAGGCTTCCCTGGGCCCAGTTCAACCTGGCAGGAGGGCTGCTGTTTGTGACACAGACCAGGCTCAGGGACTGGCCCTGTTGAACTCGAAGAGATGAGCCATTGCCCAGGGCTTCAGATCCTGGTATGACAGAGAGAAAGCTAAGCCCAGGTCCAAGTTATGGACTCTCTGTGTTTTTTCTTCCCCTTATATTGTGTAGATCTAACTCTTCTTTTCCATTGCCTGATGGGCTTATACAGTGTGGATTCTGCCCCAAGGGGCCAGGGCTTAGAGCAGGCACTGCAGTCTTTCCACGAGGCCTTCATGCCCTCATCTCAGCTGCCTTGGTTCCCACGCCTCCTGTGTTGGCCATCGGTGTCAACTCACATCCAAAGTTTGCCTCTAAGAGTCTTGCCACTTAGTCTTTCAACAACAGCTTACTAAGATCTGTCTAACTTAGGGGTGTCAGAGGAACTCACAGCCTTGCAGGCAAGATACCCCAAAGTAAGTACTCACAAAGCAGTATGACATGTCCTGTGACAGGGGTAAGTCGGGCTGAGGTTGCCTTGAGAACAGGCAGCTCAGTGAGACTGTCAGGATAAAGAAGGCTTCCTGGAGGGAGATAGGCTTAGGGAGAACATGAATAACGGGTGGGAGCTGCCTAGGGGATGATGCTGGTATGCAAGGACGTTGCGGGATGAAGATCCGGAAGGTGCAGCTACAGCTGAGGTGTAAAACGGTCTTACGTGCTCAGGGAAAGGCAAATAGTGCTGTAAGGCTAAAGGAATCAGTATATTTGGCAGTGTTTAGATATGAGGCTACCAGAAGGAGTTATGGGAGATTTAAAAAACAATATTAGAGTGGGGAAATTCAGAGACATAAAAGAAAATATTGATGGCCGCAACCGGTGGCTTACTACTCAGTGTTTAACCATCAGTTTACCAAGGAAAAAACACCTCTGATCTGTGCATTTGCCGATTTCCTTGGTATAAATACTCCCATCTTGGCCAATTTCCAGCACCCAATTTGAAATATTGAACAAGGAGCTGGGAAAAGATGCACGCAATCGGCTCTGGCCAAGCACTGAGAGCTGACTCCAGCACACCACTGAGTGCATCTGAAAAACATTACACGCTTTTGTCTAGCCCAGGAAAATTATCCTGTGCTAAAGCCAAAAGGCCATCAGTAGACTAGACATAAATACTTTCAGCTACAAACAGCTAATTTCCTCACTGTGAAGACAGCTTCTTCAGATCATTAAGAAAAAGTCCCGACAAATAAATACGAATGGTTCTTAAACATAATGAAAGATACTCAACTCGTCTGTGGTATTTTGTTATGGCAGCTTGAGCAGACTAAGACAAATTTTATGGCACTGGTGACAGCCACATTCATTGCATTGGGGAAGGAAAAGGCCATAGGATACCTTGGTGAAAGTAGGCCGGGGGTAGGGGGAGACCAGTTTTTAGGGTGACAAGTAAGTAAGTCACTTCCCACCTTTACTGCCCCACACCTGGCCTGAGCCTTTCTCCTATGTGAGTTCTACAACCCCAGCTCAGAAGAGAGGAGACAGATCCCATCTCCACCACCCCCATCTCACCTCTCTTCCAGAGAGGAGAAGTTGAATCCTACCTGTGCCGTCTCTCCTGATCACACTGATGGTCACGTTCTGTGGAGTATCTGGACAAACAGACATAATTGGTCCCTTTTCAGTGCCAGGAAGGAGAGTTTTGTCCTTCTATCCCCAGAAACTTTAGAAAGAGGAAAAGGGTGGAGTTGGGTGTCCTCTTTCTTGTCTCTCCAGCCCCGACCTTCAGGTCCTAGCACCCAGTATCCCAGGTCATGCCTCCCCCTGCCCCTGACGCTCTCGGGACCCAGGTGTCCTGGCCCAGCACTCACAGGACATGTTGAGCTGAATGGTCCTCTCTGTGGTTACGCCAGTGTCGGGAAGGTCACTTGACAGGTGAAGTTGCTGCTGTGGTCCTGTGGCCCCGGGTTCAAGGTGAGCACCAAGGAGTGGGGAATTTGGGGGCCCAGGGAGGTTGGGACCACCCCAATCCAGGAGAAGGGGGCGTGTCCCCCTCTCACAGGCCCATGGCACTATGCAGAATATCTTCTTGGGGTGGCCAGATTCCAGGGCCCCCTGGATGTAGATGTCAAGTGTCTGTGTAAGAGCTGGGGAGGAGAAAGACAGAGACCCAGGCCCTAGAGGTGAGGACCTCCTGTGTGCGTTCCTAAGAGCAGCCTCTGCCTCGGGCCAGGTGTCTCCTCCCAGCCAGCCCCAGTGTCCCATCCCCCTTGGTACCTCCCTGGATGGGGTGCAGGAGGTCCCATCCCAGCCCTGCCCTGGGGAACTTCAGGACCCATTCCTATATCCTTTCTTGACCTTATTCCTTACCCAACACATGCACAGATAGCTTGTTCTTTCTGTAATTATATTTTATGTAAGGCCTTATCTCCACCCTAAAGAAGTAAGTCCCCGTGTCCTTTCTCTGTGCATCTCTGATATCCAGGGAGCAGTTGCTGGTCCTAGGGTCTCCAAGGAGGTGGAATCGGTCCTGGGTCTTCTCCTGCACTTTACGATATGGATCGTTTGTGGCCACTGGAGGATCCTTGTCGAAACTGGCCTCTTCCTGGAACCAGTAGCCGTGAACAGGGATAGAGTCAACCTGGTAGACCGCGGGGTAGAAGACACTGCAGGGCACGAGGACGCACAGTCCTTCCTGCACCATCACCAAGTCTGGCACTTGCAACTTGTATCTTAGATCCTGAGCCAGAGAACCTGTGCAGAAATGAGGGTCAGCTCAGGCCCAGCCCCGACGGGCCCCTCTCCCCGCAGCCCACTCACCGGCCCACAGCAGGGGTAGCAGCAGTGCCACAGCATTAGCATCATTGGGAGTGACAGTCATGGGGCCTTGGTTTCACAGGTCCAAGAGGAAGCCCCACAGGAAGCCCAGGGGTGAGGGCAGAAAGGGGACTGACCACAGAAACTTTGCACCCACACACTGTCTGAGATTTACTGCCCCTGGAGAGTAACTGCTTCTACTTTCCATGTGGAGTCCCAGTGGCGGCCACACACAGGTAGGAGGACCCAACCGCAGCTCCTGGCTCTTGGTCCACAGTCTTTCTCTCCTGCACCACTGTCTACACCAGGAAAGCAGGCACTGCCTGGCTATTCACAGCTTCTAGATTCTTGGGAGGGTCAGTCCTGTCATGGGTGGGACTCAGGAGGGCCCAGCAGAGGGACTATGAGGCACAAAAGATGAGGATGGGTTCTCCGCGGTGAGGGAGGTAGTATTGAATGAATGAATGAGTGAATGAGTGAATGCAAGAACCACATCCTGAACATCTACTTCTTTAAGGGGAGTGGAGTCAAAGGGGAGGCTACGACAGGCTGTCTCTGTCCATGAGAAGGTCTCTAATGAATGAGGAGGCAAAGAAGCCCTAGGCCATTCCAGCTCCTGTAGTAAGGGGCGTAATGTGGAAACACAGGCAGAGGCTTGTGCAAAACCCAATTGTCTTCTGCAGTTAGAAAGTGAGTTCTCAGGTATAAGTGGGCAGAGAGGATGAGACTAGGACTCTGAGGGGGTCATGAGGATGTGGCCCCACAGGTAGCCCTGGGGCTTCCTAACCTACTTATTGCCCTCTGCCCCAGGTATCCCCGGGATTGACTGCACAGACCAGGTCCTGAGAGTCCAGCATGTAGAGCAAGGTCAACTGCAGGATGTTGGGGGTAAGCCTTGTCGGGGGCCCCTTTCTTCTCGGAGGCTCAGTTTCCTCTTCTGTCACATGGAGGGATCACAGTACTTTACCCTCAGTCTGAGGCAGAACCCAATTCAAGGAGATAAATGTTCTCTGCAGACTCAGGTGTGGCTGTAATGCTGTGTGTCCCTGGGCAGACCCTGAGTGGCCAAGTGTCCAGCCCTGCTCAGCTTCAGTGGCCATTCTGAGTCCTGCCCCATCAAGAAGCTCCTGGCGGTCAACACTGCTCCAGAGCTCCCTCATTTGAGGCATCACAGCAAGGGGGCAGAGGCCTGGATTCTGAAGCCCACTGGCTGCTGGCTTGAGTGTGGCTCCCTATGCCTGCTGTGCTGCCTTGGGAAGGGGCTTAACCACTCTGCACAGTCAGATGCCTATGCTCACAGGTGTTATGGGCTAAATTGTGTCCTTCTCCCAATTTCATATGTTAAAGTCCTGACCCCAAGTACCTCAGAATGTGACTATATTTGGAGATAAGGCCATTAAAGAGGTAATTAAGTCAAAATAAGATTATTAGGATGAGCCCTAATCCAATGTGACTGGTATTCCTTATTAGAAGGGGAGACAAAGGGAAGACCATGTGAAGACACAGGGAGGAGACCATTACCTACAAGCCAAGAAACGAGGCCTCAGGAGAAAACAGCCCTGCCAACACCTTGATCTCAGACTTCTAGCTCCAGAATTGTAAGAAAATAAATTTGTTTGAGCTACTCAGTTTGTACTACTTTGTCATGGCAGCCCTAGAAAATTAATACATGGGGACCATTCAATGTGTTTGTACAAGTAAAGTGCTCAGAGCAGCCTGGTCTGGCCCACAGTGGACCCCACAGTCCACACGCTGGTCAGTGGCCAGTGTGTACGATCGAGCTGTTCAGAGGATGGGAAGAGAAAAGGGAAGGGAAAGGTTTGATAACCAGAGGCAATCAGGCAATCTCTGGTTCCTCCTGCACCAGCTCTGACTTCCGCAAGGCAGTTACCTCACCCTGGCCACATTTGTCCCTTCCCGGGACAGGACAATTCCCTCTGGAGGCTGTGCGCATCACTGATCCGGCACCCTGGGCACTTGCCTCTCATCTGGGGAGCAGAATCTCCTGGGAAACTGGGCTGAGGTGAGGCAGACCCTGGCGGCAGAGACACAGTCACAGGTTGGTTTAATCCAAGCTTAGCCAGATGGGGCTGTGGGAGCCCAGTGGAGGGAGTTAGGATCTGCCTAGAGGATAGGACAGGTGAGCTGAGAGGTGAAAAAGGAGAAGGGTTGTCTGGCAAGCAAGTTAATCCCAAAACAACAAGCAAGACCATAGCCAAAGACGGTGGAGAACACAGCAGTGGGGGGAAAAAATGGTGAAAACTCCACCCACGGACAGTTTATATTCTAGTGGGGCAGTCAGACCATAAATACAACTGAGTAGCAAAAAGTGTTTGGACCATAGCCAAAGACGGTGGAGAACACAGCAGTGGGGGGAAAAATGGTGAAAACTCCACCCACAGACAGTTTATATTCTAGTGGGGCAGTCAGACCATAAATACAACTGAGTAGCAAAAAGTGTTTTGAACGTGTGTAATGCGTAAAGTGCAAGAAAAATAAGCAGAGCTAATCAAAAGGAACGGAGTAATCAGGGTCAAAGGGTAGTGGGGTTTCATTAGCATGATCAAGAAAGACCATGCTGAGAAGAAAATTGTCACCCAAATTTTTACAGTTACTGTGCACTACTACTGATTAGCTCAAGATCCCTCGAGGCACAAAGAAGAGAGGGATTTGCACTTTCAGCTCCTGATTCGCTCTGGCGGCTGTGCATCAGCTGCAAGACGCACATGCCTCTGGGTGCAAAGCCCCATCTGCCTCATTGATTGGCTGTGGAGTGGGTCACCAATCTACCAATAAGGCCACCAGTTGGTCTGTCAGTTAATGATCAGGTTAGTGTTCTTATGAGTCAACAGTTAGTCCCTCAGTAAACAAGTTAATCAGATAATCCACCCCCTTCATAGCCTGCCTTGTTAATCAGTTAATTAGGCTCCCACTAAGTCAGTCCTCCTGTAAGTTAGTCCACCTGTTGGTCACACAGTTATCTCATGTGTAAGCCAGTTCATCACTTTTACTGTTCGTGATTGGTTTTATTACCCAACCAAGAGCGAGTCGGTCATCTGCTGTTCCAAATGACTCAACAGCCTCTCCTGCTGAAGCTGCAGTGATAAAGAAAGGCGTTTATTTGATTATGTCAAAGGAGATTGAGGCAGCTAAAGGAGCTTAAAGACTTCAAACTCCCAGCCAGCTTAAAATCACAAGCATTTACAGAGCCAAATCATGAGTGGGGTTCCCAGGAGTCATGTGGGATGACTGGTTTGAGTTGAAGCCAACACAATTATCCCTGGTGTCCTGACTAATATCATCCTGGCTCCTTTAAGTTTGGGGCTTATGTATTTCAGAGCAGGTTGATGGTGGATGGTGAACTTCAAAACAACTTGAGATTAGAGTCACATATATTGTCTTTAGCCATTCTGTCAAGGAACAAACTTCTCAGTCAAAGGAAGTACATGTTTAATTAACTATACTCTTATCTTATTGNGCTGAGAGGTGAAAAAGGAGAAGGGTTGTCTGGCAAGCAAGTTAATCCCAAAACAACAAGCAGGACCATAGCCAAAGACGGTGGAGAACACAGCAGTGGGGGGAAAAATGGTGAAAACTCCACCCACAGACAGTTTATATTCTAGTGGGGCAGTCAGACCATAAATACAACTGAGTAGCAAAAAGTGTTTTGAACGTGTGTAATGCGTAAAGTGCAAGAAAAATAAGCAGAGCTAATCAAAAGGAACGGAGTAATCAGGGTCAAAGGGTAGTGGGGTTTCATTAGCATGATCAAGAAAGACCATGCTGAGAAGAAAATTGTCACCCAAATTTTTACAGTTACTGTGCACTACTACTGATTAGCTCAAGATCCCTCGAGGCACAAAGAAGAGAGGGATTTGCACTTTCAGCTCCTGATTCTCTCTGGCGGCTGTGCATCAGCTGCAAGACGCACATGCCTCTGGGTGCAAAGCCCCATCTGCCTCATTGATTGGCTGTGGAGTGGGTCACCAATCTACCAATAAGGCCACCAGTTGGTCTGTCAGTTAATGATCAGGTTAGTGTTCTTATGAGTCAACAGTTAGTCCCTCAGTAAACAAGTTAATCAGATAATCCACCCCCTTCATAGCCTGCCTTGTTAATCAGTTAATTAGGCTCCCACTAAGTCAGTCCTCCTGTAAGTTAGTCCACCTGTTGGTCACACAGTTATCTCATGTGTAAGCCAGTTCATCACTTTTACTGTTCGTGATTGGTTTTATTACCCAACCAAGAGCGAGTCGGTCATCTGCTGTTCCAAATGACTCAACAGCCTCTCCTGCTGAAGCTGCAGTGATAAAGAAAGGCGTTTATTTGATTATGTCAAAGGAGATTGAGGCAGCTAAAGGAGCTTAAAGACTTCAAACTCCCAGCCAGCTTAAAATCACAAGCATTTACAGAGCCAAATCATGAGTGGGGTTCCCAGGAGTCATGTGGGATGACTGGTTTGAGTTGAAGCCAACACAATTATCCCTGGTGTCCTGACTAATATCATCCTGGCTCCTTTAAGTTTGGGGCTTATGTATTTCAGAGCAGGTTGATGGTGGATGGTGAACTTCAAAACAACTTGAGATTAGAGTCACATATATTGTCTTTAGCCATTCTGTCAAGGAACAAACTTCTCAGTCAAAGGAAGTACATGTTTAATTAACTATACTCTTATCTTATTGCTAACTGAATTTTATTGATACTGTTAAGAATACAACTTATCCCGCTTGGTCAAGCAGTCTTTCTTTTGCTATTTCCCCGTTCTCCCAGCCAAGGCCTATTCTGGAGAACAGCTAGGGAAAATTGGAGGTCTGTCCCCCGGTTTCAGTTTCCCTAAAAAATAAGTTTTTAGGTCAGTCACCTACAAGTTAGTCACTGATTGATTGCATCCCCCACCCCACCCTTTGGCCCCTTTGGCCTCAGACATGTTCTTCAACCTGTCTGATCATGGCCTGCAGAAATCCAATTCTGAACCTCTTCAACATGTCTTCTTCTCCCCGTTGTCTTCTCTTGGGGAGTGAGTAGTGACTGAACCACCAGGTGAGCTCTGCAGCCAGCAAAACT